CTCTGGCTTAGTTGCCCAGGCTGGCCTCAGCTTTGCCGTCTTCCTGTCTCCCAAGTGGCTGGGATGGCAGATGGGCGCCGCTGGCTTTCAGCTTGCTCTGAGGTGTGTTTTGAGAGGCTTCCCTTTTGCTGAGTCCTGAGAGCTGGTGCTGCAGGCCCAGGACACCCTCCTGTAGGTCAGGGTCAGGAAGACTGGGATCCGAGGGTGGACGGCCCACTGGGCCTGTTGACCTCAAGTGTGATCACAGGTGCTGCCCCTGGGGTCCCCCACCCGCTGGGGTGACACATGCTTTTGGGAATTGTCCTGGCTTCTCTCCTCCCTTTGTGTTTTGCCTCATCAACTGGTCCTGGGTTATTGATGAGATATTATGAGGCCTGGATGGTGTTAGGTGAAGTCTTCGCCCTTTTATATTAGAAAATGCTTTCCAGCCCTGCTGGAGCTGCCTTTGCAGGATCCAGACACTCTCTCCTCAGGCCTGTTTTGTTTTGCTTTAGGAGGTTTGTTAAAAGCAGTTCACTCTCAGTAGGCCATTCCAGGTTGCTGTTACTCTACTCTCTGTATGAAAAGGAAAATCTGAGAGATGTCCCCAGCATCTTAAGAGGAGAATCTGAAAGGAAGAAGGCAAGGGGAAAAGGGTGCAGCATCCACCCCCCCAGGTTACATTTGCATCCGCACCCCCACTTCATGCTCTGCAAGGACCCTGGGGAGGCCTGCACCCCAGCCTGAGGCTGCCTCCAGGCCTGCCCCTACTATGGGCAGATCAGATCAGATCAGATCAGATCAGATCAGATCAGATCAGATCAGATCGGGAGCACAAGAGCACAAGAGCACGTTGCTGGGGGCCTGCAGGGTAGCTCGGCCCCGCCCCTCCCCTTGCAGCAGCCAGCCAGGGTGCGACCAGGTGCGGAGCTGGGCCTCCACAGTGGCTCTCTGTTCAGGCGCCTTAGGAGGGCAGGAGGTCCTCTCCTCAGCACCCTCCTCACGTCCTGGCTAGACCAAAGGCCTGGCCTGTTGCCCTGTGGCCCCGCTGCTGCTGCTGCTGCTGCTGCTGCTGCTGCTGCTGCTGCTGCTGCTGCTGCTGCTGCAGCCGGCACTTTATGGGCTTTTCTCGGGGAGGGCAGGGTGTGGGGGAACCCAGAGCCACCACGTCCTTGTCGTGCAGCATCGCTAGCCGCACACAGCAGCCAGGGCCTCAGCATGTGCGTGGCTCATGTGTCTGAAGTGGATTTATTTTAGTCAATTTTAATTTAAAAAATGATACTTAATGCAGGTGGAGGAAAGTGATTTTAAGTGTTGTGGGAATAACGGGGATAGGAAAATATTTTTGCATGCAGGGGGTTAAATACAGGGCTGTCTGCCTGGTAGGTAGTTCTACCACCGAGCTACGTCTCAGGCACCACACCCTTAAATTTTACCTTGAACTGGTCTTGTTAAGTTGGAAGGCTGGCCTCGTGATCCTCCTGCCTCAGCCTCCCAAATAGCTGTTTGTAATCTACTTTTTCAACTGGAAGTTTCATGGAATCTACAAATAGATTAGGTATTTGCAAGGAAAAATTGAGTATCTACATTAAGATATCCTGTAAGTGGGCTGGGGATA